TTCACAAAGTAACAACTGTTTTCTTGTATCGGGTGAACAGAGATTGTGTTTGGTCACATTAACGTCCTCAACTTGTACTAGATATCGTTCTCAAACTGTTCAGACAAGGAAAACATGTGGATGTGAAGACAAGTCGCCGTAGCTTTAGATTTATACCAATCTTATAATAACACTTTGATAAAAGGGTTTAAAACCTAATCAACACTGATTACATTAATGGTTTCTGAACAATGAGATGTTTTCACTGATGATAACTAATTTGTTCAGGAGGTGTCACTCAAATCATTGCTTTCTGGGCTTGGACTCGAAAGTTTCATTGACGTAATGAGGATGTATACGTTGTTGTAAGACATTAAGACAGCAATCGAATCCTGAATGGAAAACAATAGGCAGAGGATGATTGTGTAAATTACGCATAGATGATTTGACTCATAGTTTATGCACTTGTAATAAAGGGTGACACTGAGTTGTACACAAGAATTACGTCAACTCAAATAGTATCTACATGTAAGTATGGTCATCATATCTATGGATGCTCAATTTCATGTTCGCCTAGCATGTACGATATTTAAAAAAGAGAATATATGAATGGCTACAAGTTTCGGTGAACTTAAACGTTAATACTTTGTGAAGGCTAAATGAGATACATTAACTATTAATGTTAACAGAATGGCGATATGATGAACCGGATGTTCACCGACGAAAAAGATTGTTTGTCCCTAATGTGAAAATGGTCAACACATATATCTGTTTCCCAATGCACCAGTCCATCCAAATGTGTTCATGCTAAATCAAATCTTCGTACGAGCATTGAGATACATATACATCAATATATGTCTTTAAATATTACATATTCGATCTACCAAACGTAATGTGTATTGTAAATATTCCAATACTCATAATTAAGTGTCGTCCAAGCCATCAATACATCCTCAAGTATCAAAAGCAATCACTATAATTGTTATTAAAACTTATCGAGAAAGAACCTTTCCACAGCGGAACAAATACAGTCACATGAACAGTATTAAATAGATACCTCTTACTCAATCATTTTTGAGGTTGTCCAATGTTTTAGAAAATTCAAAATGGAATTCTGCCTAACAATGTGTTTGTTCTTAACACATATGGATGTGAAATGTCTGGCAATATTCATTCTCTGTTAGCGAGGTACAGCACTTACTAAGGGAACCAAAAATGTGAGGTGTGGCTTTCTTTGATATGTATCCTTCTTCACCTGAAAACGGCATTAAACTACCCTGATCTGTCCTAACAGGCTATTTGTATTGCACCGACAGTTATATGATTAATAATTCTCTAAAGCCATACAGTCAACATCATCAGTGCATGACATGTATAATTCGCTGTGCCGAGTCGCCTCCCATGTAAATTCACGAACAGCATCATCGTCGAGTCCAATCCCAGGTTCTCCTTCAATCTAACTTCGGTCTTGTCAGCATAAATACCACTGTCGTTGATTTGCTAAAGTGCAAAGATCTGCGTCCCTTTGGGCTTTCACCTCACATTAGCTGACACGCAGGGATATAACATAATTACTGTTAGAAGCGACGTTAAACCCAAGCATCTCATTCTTTCTGTCCTTGATCTACCAGCCACAATATTAGCTTTACCGTTTTGGTAACAGTTTACTGTGTTTGAAATCATCCCACACACCAGCAATCAACATCCATTGATAAAGGAGAACATGCATTGTTAAAATAAATTATTTCAGACATACGGTAACAATAAATAGTTCGTCATATATAGCAAGTATATATACAAAGAAGTTGTTTTGTGTAGCACTTTACTGATGACATTCCTAATTGTTGTACTCAATTATTAGGTCAACTCAAATATTATCTACATGTACATGTAAGTATGGTCATCATATCTATGGACGCTCAATTTCATGTTCGCCTAGCATGTACGATATTCAGAAAAGAGAATATATGAATGGCTACAAGTTTCGGTGAACTTTATCGTTAATACTTTGTGAAGGCTAAATGAGATACATTAACTATTTGTATGTTACCTGAATGGCGATATGATGCACCGGATGTTCACCGAAAACGTCAAACCTTATGTCAAAATCGTCAACATAATTCAGCATATATCTGTTTCCCAATGAAGCAGTCCATCCAAATACTTTTATGCTAAATCAAATTTTAATAAAGCATATTGAAATATAACACAAAAAATATATGTTTTTATATCTTACAAATTCGACACACCGAACGTAATGTGTGTCGTAAATAATCCTCAAACAAGGATGGCCGAAGTAAACAAGCTGAAGCACCACAAACAATCGTACTAATGGATTGATTAGTTTATTGTTTTTAAAGTATTCAACCTGCCCAAAGTATTTTGTTTGTAAAATATGCCATGTTCATAAAACAAGGAAGACCTGATATACAGTTGTGCTCTTTCCTAAGTATATTTTAGAAGAAATGTGTGCTCACCAGCTATTCTGACACCCGATCTAATTTTGGACGTATATTGTCATGATTGTGGACTTGTTTCACTCACAACGTACGCACTATGAACACTTTCAACGTTATTGAATAAAGAACATCAAGGTAAGAAAATAACCAGATTGGACTAATATACAGATTACAATGGGCGTAAAAGGCATAATAACGGTGAGTGAGTGAGTGAGTTTGGTTTAACGCCGCTTTTAACATAATTCCAGAAAATATCACGGCGTGTCAGCTTAATGTGGGAGGAAAGCCCGAAGTGATGCAGGTCTCAGACGTTTACCACTTCGGTGAAACCCACGAGCACGGGTATGGTGCTGACAAACCTAGAAACATAATCGGGGTGAACCGGGATTCGAACCCACAATCATAGGTTTCTGGCGTGCCCAAGGGACGCAACTCTGCACAGCTTATCGCGGCGCCTTAGACGACTGGGCCACCCGTTCCCCCAATGGTTATCTGAACGACCACTGCATCGAGTGTACGTGCAGAGTTTTGAGAAGCTCAGTAACCCTGCAGGGTCCTTCGCTTGGATGAGGTCGGCTGGCCTGAAAAGTAAAACAGAAGACTTTCTGTTTGCTGCTCAGGACCAGTCACTTCTCACTCGAAACCGACAATGTGTGATTTTGCATCAAAATGTAAAAATGAAATGTAGATTATGCAATGAGACTGTCCAACAGTGTCAGTGGATGCCCCGCATTAGCACAAACACAGTATCTTAAGTGACATAATGGTGTTGCTCGATCATTTTATTACCGTCTTTGCAATGGTTGTGGTTTTGACACAGAGGTCCATCCATGGTATGACCCGGAATATGTAGAGGGCGTCATGGAAAATGACTCATACAAAATTCTTTGGGATAGGCCCGTTTACAGCCTCAGACGTATCCAGACCAACAAACCTGATCTTGTCCTTTTTGATAAATCCAATGAAATCATTTATTTCATTGAATTTTCTGTCCGTTTTGACACAAATGGGATTGACAAGATTCAGGAAAAACATGGCAAATATGCAGACCTCGCTTTCGAAATGTCACGCTTACATCCCAAGTACCAAGGTGTCCGACTCCCCATTGTTCTCGGTCCCTTAGGTTTGGTACCTCCAAATCTGTTGACTGACATTGGGAGAGTACCCGGGTTTGCTACCAGGAATACAGACCTTCTGACAATCTGGGTAATGCAGAAGGCTGCAGTGTTGGGGAGTCTTCACATTCGTCGAAAAGTTCTGTGTGGGTTCGATTAGGCAATGCTTCCTTTGAGAAGTCCCATTCGCTGTCTGGGCTGCATGTTAAAGGGGGCAAGAACTCATATGTTGCGTCTATTGACATGATGGCGATCACAGATTAAGACATGACGCTGCATGAAGTACTTCTCTTCACAGATATCACCATTTACATACAATTTATTGTAGATAATTAACGTACCGTTATCAATAATGATGAGCTGTACTGTATGCTTTCTTTTGTTTGTGTTGAAAGAGACCACACTTATGACACTCGTTCAACATTACCGAGGGTCTCTTTCTGGGTTTGGCGACTCACAGTTCCTGTGTACCCGTGAAGATCCGGGGTAGAATAGGTCTTCAGCAATACATGCTTGCCATAAAAGGTGACTATGCTTGTCATAAGAGGCGACTGACGGGATCGGGTGGTCAGGCTCGCTGCCTATGTTGGTGCACGTCTTTGCATCCCAATTGGGTAATCGATGCTCAAGATAACAATCACTGGATTGTCTGTTCCAGATTCGATTATTTACAGACCGTCGTCATGTAGCTGGAATATTACTGAGTGCGGCGTTAAACAACAAACAAACAAAACAGTCCCTGTGGTCTGTTGGTTACTCACTTTGTGATATTTTCTTAAAGGTCTGTTTTGTGACAACTAGTTTTACTGTGTCTTTTCAAAAGTTCATTGTAGGAATTTGTTTACTTAAAACATGTTATACTTTTTGTCTTTTTTCGCTTAAAAATAAAATTTGTCAGTGAAATAAAGAAATCTGTTGTCTTTTTGTAGGGCCAAAGGCAACACCTGGTATCATCTCTTTTTGATATATGAACGCATGCTTAATATGGAAAGGGTTTTATCGCTTACATTTATTTGAAGAATTAATTCCTTTTCTTCATTTTAATTTTGATCATTCAGAACGGGAATAAACTAAAGTTATATAGTCTTACTCCTCATAAACTCCTCTTGTGAATTCTAGGGCTGAGAGAGCCATAAATCAATGTGATTCAGATTACGAAACTCCTCAGTCAAGCTTACAGCATACATCTAACATTAGTGCCGTGCAATGATTCTCAACAAGGAAGTACTTTAAGTAACAGTTTCCTGAGATATAAACCAGCAATGCTTCTAAAGGTACATTGCATGCTTGTTCTTGAAAAAATTGTTATTCTACTTCTTGCCTTTACGTCCTATGGAAGCAGTTTTAGCGGATATTCGACGTGACTTATTATTTTCTGGTGTTGACGTTTGAAATCTTATTTTGGTAATCATAAATATTTGAATATCACAAGAAAATATTATTGCGATGTACAATTCCGTTTATTGTAAAAAGATCAGATTTCAACAATAACAATATATTAGAAGTAAAAGGAGAATACAAATATACATGGCTGATCGTCATACAGGTTTAGCACTAAATCACACCGCAAATAGGTCAGCGGGTAAATCCACATCGTCACACACATTGTCACTGATCGGTTTTTCAGTGTTACCAAACCGTCAGTAATACCCGTGTGAAAGAACCTCGTCATGACTAGGTTCGTGGATAGGCTGACTGAAAGGCAGAGAGGAGTACAACGTTTCCAGGGCCGACAACGTTGACAGGTAGGACGGTGAAAACGATTCCTTGCTCTGGCTTCCGGAAGAATTCCAAGACTCTGAACCAGATGTTGGTTCGTGTGAAAGAGAGGAACGAGATAGACTAAATCTTTTGTTTTTGACTGCAATCATCTGGGGCGAGATCTGTCCACTAGATGGCGTCATGATACTAACTGTCCCAGGTCTCGACGAAATCCCGAACGGTGGCGAGACTTGCCCAAGTGTTGTAACCGCAGACGATGTTGTTGTCCCTAGATATACGGGACAAGGACGCTGTATGAGCTGGGATGGTGACGGTGACGATGGCGGGGTCATCATAGCACTGGAAGATGTTGGAACAGCCAGAGGGGCTGTCACCATGGCACCTGGCATCATGTACGAGAACTGTGGAAGAGCAGACGACATTGCAGGGCAGGGCGGCATCAGGAACGAATGGACGGGAGATTTGTCCGCCTGGTGCGGTTGGGCGGCCTTCTGTCGCTTGGTTCTTGCTCGCTTGTTTTGGAACCATGTCTGCAAATAATATGAAAAATATTTTCAATTTACAGATTTTGTAATAAAGTTAGACAACATGTATTCCTGCATATCACGACTGTTGGACAACTCATTTACACTACATGTTTAACTTAGAAACTGAGAGAAGCGAAAAAGTTTGTATTTTCAATACTTACGTTTTCTAGCAAATTGTTACATTTCGGCCTTCATAACCCCATAAATCGTGTAATACGGTGTGTGTGTGCGCGCGTGCGTGCGTGCGTACGTGCGTGCGTGCGTGCGTGTGTTGCTAGGCCAAGAAATATACAATCAGATGAAAGAAACGTACGATAAATGGAAGCAAATATTTGTTGTTTAACGCCGCACTCAGCAATATTCCAGCTATATAACGGCGGTCTGTAAATAATCGAGTCTGGACCAGACAATCCAGTGAATGACATCATTCACCCAACTGGGAAACGATGACATACTTCAACGAAGTCAGCGAGCCTGACCACCCGATCCCGTTAATCGCCTCTTACGACAAGCATAGTCGCTTCTTATGACGGGCATGGATTGCTGAAAGTCAATTCTAACCCGAATGTTCACGGCTTTTGAACAAAATGAACAAAATAGCCTTTACATATTTCAGGTGCTTCTAATAACCACCTACCTTGAGATTCCGTTGGGGCACACCAAGCTCTTCCTCCAATTTCTCATAAAGCTGAGTTTCGGGATAGGGTGTGACCAGGAACACGGCATCAAGTCTCTGGATCTGGTTAGAGGTGTAGCTGATTCTGCTGCCCCTTCTCTGGGGTTGGTCACTGTCGGTGGACGAGACAGAACAGCGCGAGGACTTCGAACGTGACCGTGACCTTTTGGGCGATATCGGACATTTATCACCAATGTCCGTCTTTGACGGCGTCGACATCCTTTCCGTTTTAGGGCACGATCCGAACTTTTCGGTGGTCAACCTCGACCTTGAAGTGAGTTTATCCTGAGGGTGACAGGCGGTCAGAGGAGATGCTCTGACTTCAGTGAGAGACTCAAGGAGATATGGGTGATAGGCGTGTACAGGTGCATGGGGAGAATGCACTCGTTGTTCTGACACATTCACGCATGTTTTGTACTGGCTGGAATCCGGTCTGTGATGACACAGGTTCACTGGAGAGGGGCTTGGCGACCCCGTCGTCAACGGCTTTGACGGAGGAAGTGGAGTTTCCAGTTTGGGGGATGGTTCGGGACTTGCGTATGACTCTGTAAAAGATGATGTAAATGTCAAGTAGCAGTGTGAGTGAGTTGGTCATCCACGTTCTGTAGTTATATCTACTGCAAAAAGACTTATTTGACGTTCTTGCGTGCCGAAGGGACGCAACTCCGGGCACATCGAATTGCGATGCTTCAGACGACTGGGCCACCCGTGCTCTTTACAGTAACGGATGAAACGCATGGCTATACTTATTAATTATTTGGGTTTTTTTATCCCCACCCGCCTCACATCAATGTATTGTCCCCTTGAACGATACTGATCGCTTCGTCTGTTGTATTGTTTCTTTGCTAAATGAAATATGTTTGTTTGTTGTTTAACACCATACTCAGCAATGTTCCAGCTATGTGACGGCGGTCTGTAAATATGAGTATGGACCAGGCAATATAGTGACTGATATCATGAGCATCGATCCACGCAAATGGGGTCGATGACATGCATCAACCATGTCAGCGAGCCTGGCTAAATGAAATTCACCATACAGGCAGTCTGACATACATGATTCATGTATAGCACAATTGTCGACATATGCCTAGGGTTTGTTTAATAAATACATTCCACAAATACAATGCCTCCCGCTTTGTATTGTTTCTGAAACGACTGAGGGGCGGTCGGGTAGCCTAGTGGTTAAAGCGTTCGCTCGTCACGCCGAAGACCCGGGTTCGATTCCCGACATGGGTACAATGTGTGAAGCCCATTTCTGGTGTCCCCCGCTGTGATATTGCTGGAATATTGCTAAAACCATACTCACTCACTCTGAAACGGATGAAAATCTAATAATTGTAGCCTAAATGAGTGTTGGATTCTATATACGTTAACGGGATAAAACAACTGTCACAGTGTGTATGCTTTTGTTAATGAAAGATTTGCTCACTCGCACAAAGCGACCATAGCGCTACGCCTATTGTCAGCCTATGTAAAAGTATGGGAGTTACGATCATCTTAGCGCTAAGACCGCTTTGTGCAAATGGGCCCAGATCTTCACGGGTCTTGTAGCATTTAAAGTGAATGATGTTTATGCCTCAGTCGACAATATTCTAGCTAATTCAAAGTGTCACCGAGGTTGGTGAGGTGAGGTGAGGTGAAATGGGGTTTAACGTCGCGTCCAAGATTATTGCACTTATATAGCGACGTGCATGTACGTGTGTGTGTGTTTGTGTGGCTGCTTGTACTAGTCCGGACTGATGCCGATTTATAGTGCTAGCTCACTGAGATACCATGAATACCCCACTCAGACACAGTATACTGACTCCGAGCCGACCAGTCCTTGTTTTAGCCCCTTAATGCCGAGCGCCAGACAGGGTAACAACAAGTACCATCTTTGGCGAAACCGCATTATCGGTGGTTCGAGAAGGGAGCTAACTCCGTTTGCCTAATCGAAAGTTCGAGGTGGGCCCACATTCGAAACTAAACGCACTTGTTGTTGAGAATATATACTACGTAAACAAACCGGCATAACAAACTCATAATTTGTCTATTTAAAATAAGTATTATGACTTATAATTGGATTAAAATGTACAAATAAGATGGCAATACAGCAGAACATCGCCAAACTAGGTCGTGGGGTCATTAATATTCATGAGTTATTCCTTTTATGGAACAAGTTCTCGGAAACGTCTGAGGCTTGTATCATGCCCGAGATCAATTCAAGTGTAGACATATGTTCAGGCTTATATCGCCACCAACACTTATGATTAAATTGATGTGTTATATTGGAAAAAGTAGAATGAGTGGTATTGCCTCTGTAAATTTAATTTGAAGTAGATTTAAGTTTCTTGCTTGGTAGCTATTTTTGTAAAACTAGTGTGGTCAGCTATGACGCAGTTATTCAAACTTCAAAGACTTTTGTGCCTTTTATGGAATTAATGTCACACGAAATGATTTATAAAGATATTTCCCATCAATATTACAAAATATGAATAGTATAAAATGTCACATAATGACAAACGTGAGCCCAATAGCCTAAATGACTTCGTCAACCTTATGAAACCCAGCGATTTAAAAATGTGGGCCCACCTTTTTCGATCACTATAAGACGGGAACAATGTGGGCCCACATTTTAGAAAATGGTTATAAGTAAGCCAAGCTAATGAAGCTAGCGATTTTTTAATGTGGTCCCTCCTTTTGCAATCACTATGACGGAAGAACGTCTACCCACTAGGCGATATACAAATGTGGGCCCACTTGTTTCGATCACCATATATGACGGGAACAATGTGGGCCCACATTTGAGAAAATGATTATCAATATTTAAGTAGAATTTCGCGATTAATAAATGTGGTCCCTCCTGTTGCAATCAATATGACGGAAGAACGTCTGCCCACATTGAGGGATTGATTATCAGAACTAACGAAACAACCTAACGAAGCTAGGCGAAATACAAATGTGGGCCCACTTGTTTCGATCACCATAGATGACGGGAAAAATGTGGGCCCACATGTTAGAAAATGGGTATCACCACTAAACCAATCTTAGAAGATGTACTGATGGAAACATAAATATATAATGCATTCAAACATTTAATTACCTTACGTTTTACCTTAGGGATAAGCTGGGCATTTAATAGCTGGACCAACAACGTGCAGCGTGGGTGACGCCATTTCTCGCAAATACGAAAACAACGGAGGTAGCTCCCGTTTGAAATGAGAGTGACCTCCCTTTCCCAATATGAACCACTGATAATGCGGTTATGGTATGACGCGGTCGGGGATCGAACCCCGGACCTTCAGCTCTCCGGGCGGACGCTCTACCACTAGACCACGGAGGCGGTCCACCGAGGTTGGAAATCCAGACCAACGGATAAGACGCATGAACCCAAAACAGCTTTACCAACAGTGTGGATATTAATTTTCTGTTCACGTAGCAGTCGCCAATATTTGAACTTTATGCCAATGGCCTGTAAATAATCAAGGGAGGTGAGGCAAAAAAGGGGGACGATAGCATGAGCATCGATTCCCATCGTCGAGACCCAATGACACGAAATCAGCCATGTCATGTTATATACATGAGACAATTTTTGGTAATTCATTAATCACAGTCATTTCAAAAGCAAATCAGCAAAAGTCGAATTATACCATAGTCTTTGTGTTGTTGTAATTTTTACATGTTTATTGAAAACAAAGTTTACATTTACCATTGTGATCTTGTTCTTGGGAGGGTATCACTTCTGAGGACCGTGTACAAATCATGGTCTGGAGATCGTGTTCTGAATGATGGTATTGATGAGTACCAGGATCGGCTCTCTGGTAGTCACGTGGCATGATGGCGGCCAGACTTCCTGCCAGACACCCTGGCGACAGGACACGATCATGAGCGACTTGTGGGTTGGTCTTCATCAGAGACGAGATGGAGAAGGGCTGCAATTACCAATGGAGTGAGTGAGTGAGTATGGTTTTACGCCGCTTTGAGCAATATTCCAGCCATATCAAGGCGGCGGACACCAGAAATAGTCTCCACATATTGTACCCGGATGGGGAATCGAACCCGGGTCTTCGGCGTGACGAGCGAAGGCTTTAACCACAAGGCTACCCCACCGCCCCATTAACAACCCATTTGTCTGAACCCCTTTATTACGAAACTCGCACTATCCGGACGTTTACTGCTCAGAACGTCGATTGTTATACAACACGCATTACACTTGATTCGTTAATCCGGACGATTTCATTGTGAACGGTACCGTCCGGATTAACGAGGTTTCACTGTTTATGGCTATCATAATTATATTACTGGTAAACTTTCGTTATCTATCGTTAGGTGCTCATGGTTGCGGTCACAGGAGGTCAATCTATTTGCACTAATACAATGACAGACCCGTGAAGATTCCGGGGTAGAATAGTCTTCAGCAAGCCATACTTGCCGTAAAAGCCGACTATGCTTGTCGTAAAAGGCGACTAACGGGATCGGGTGGTCAGGCTCGCTGACTTGGTTGATACATGTCATCGATCCCAATTGCGCGGATTGATGCTCATGATTTCAATCACTGGATTGTCTGGTTAAGACTCGATTATTTTACAAACCGCCGTCATATAGCTGGAATATTGCGGAGTGCGGCGTTAAACAACAAACAAATAAACAAACATAATTCAATCACAAAATAAACATAAGAAGAAAATGCTTGAATCCTTTACGTGAGCGGGTGACTGTTAATCATATTCTGGATGATTGACAGATGGTTTATATTTTACAACTAATCTCAAAGAAGTTCAGCTCGTCGGTTACTGTTAACAAATACAAATACAGCTTTCTTCACTATAACAGAAGAACAATCATTTTAATCCTTAAATATATCGCCTTTGCTTCAATCATACATGGCGTCAGTAAATGAGTACAGGTGGGGTGAAATGGGGTTTAGCGACGTGCATGTGTCTGCGTGTGTCTGATTGGACTTGTGCTCGCCCATGCCACAGTTGAGTGAGTGAGTTAGGTTTAACGCCGCTTTTAACAGTATTCCAGTTATAACACGGCGTGTCAGCTTATTGTAGGAGGAAAGCCCGAAGTGATGCAGGTCTGAGACGTTTACCACTTCGGTGAAACTCACGAGCACGGGTATGGTGCTGAGAAACATAAAAACATAATCGGGGCGAACCGGGAATCATAGGTTTCTGGCGTGCCCAAGGGACGCAACTCTGCACCGCGAATCGCGGCGCCTTAGACGACTGGGCCACCCGTGCCCCCTGCCACAGTTGAACGTGAGAGAAGAGGAACCCGGAACAGCTAAGAAGTAAATCTGATTGTGTTATGTTAGATTAATTTAGGGTGTGCGGGCGCGAAAGTCTCCCATAACAACTACTCGTCATAATCACTACTGTTCATGTATATGCCAAAAGCACTACATTCATTAAAACAACAAAGGCAAATAACTCACTGATGAAGTGGAATAGTCCAGGAGAAGGAATTAGATGGAGAGGAAGAAGCTGAGAAAAGTTAAGAAAGGTTTCATTAATTATAAACAAAAACAATCTGGATCGTTATATCATCGACTGGATGAAACTGTCACTATGATGGTTACGGCGGAAAACTCCACATGCATTGAGATCCCGTAATGTATTACAATCTGTATGTTATATCTAACTTCATTTTTAGACTTATTTACATGGATAAATAAAGTTTGTAAAATTAATCTAATATTTCTTTGTAAATGATTTTATATTTAACATTTACCAACTCGCTGTTGTTAGCGGATAAAGAAATACGAATTTAAATTCAGTTAATTGTAAAATGTTTCGATGGATAATGATTCCATTTTAATTCAGTGCTTTTATATTTGTATGTTGTAAGCCTAGTCCACTTTGGGGAAAAGGGAACGGACTGAGGATTAGCTGCCGACTGGACCACTAACTGTGTTGTTTATGCTGTAGTGATTTTGGCATGTAGATGATTTGGGAGGATACCATGCATTTTGTTTCACGCAACAATCTATGAATAAAAGAATCGATACGTGAACAACGCCACATGCAGTCAGGGTACGGTGCCACGCAATCAACCAGACCACACATTGTAATAACTTGACTAATCCGAAAAGCATTCGGTTACATGTAAAAGCCTTCCTCGGGATCTTATGGATTACAAATTATGGATTAAAAACGAGCACAAACAAATCACAAAATTACACTTTTGCTTTTACTGAGCACTTAGGGTTTTTTTCAAAAGGGACATACCGATTTTGTAATAACATGGGGAGTCTTACTAAAACAATGACAATATGATATCAAAATACTCACAAATGATTCTTGTCGTGTTGCCATTTTGATACGGTAACAATGTTGTCAAATTATCTTCGGCAAGCCGAACCATTCGTCTACATCAATGTTCAATGAGTGATAGGAGTGCCTATTTCTTCTTATATATAGGCCGTCACGACTTCACAATTTGCAGGTGCGCCTCGTGCTGCACGTGCAAATTGATCAGGAAACTCTGTGCAAGTTGTGCATTGCAATAAATAAGTACGCTTTTGGTACAGTGTTCATTGTCACTCTGACTTGGGGTATCTAGGTCACGTAGGTTAATAATATTATTGTTTTGCTTGAATGTTTTGACAACACTGTTTACTTGGCTGTTTTAAAAAGATGAAATAACAGTTGTGTTTATTTTAACCAAGGAGAAACTCAACTCAAATGTATATAAGCTCAGAAAACACGTAATGCATCTTTATAGGTTTATCTTGTATCGTATAAATGTTGGCATGTGGTTTGCAAGTAACATATACCATATAGCTAATAGCACACATTGCATTTGTGTGTCACCACTAATATAGTTTCTATTAACACTCATGATTTGAGACTAGACCATGTTCGATTTATGATTCACAGATATATAACGCTAACATTGTCAAGCATACAAAATTAATAAAATAAAAACAAGGTCCTTTGAGATTAGCATCATGTTCGTGATTCTTTTATACGTTTAATAACATTGTAATTACTTCTTTCTTCTCGGGCGGTCGGGTAGCCTAGCGGTTAAAGCGTTCGCTCGTCACGCCGAAGACCCGGGTTCGATTCCCGACATGGGTACAATGTGTGAAGCCCATTTCTTGTGTCCCCCGCCGTGATATTGCTGGATTATTGCTAAAAGCGGCGTAAAACCATACTCACTCACTCACACACTTCTTTCTTATCACACCTAAATGTATGTGATAGACTGGGTGTTATATAAGTTGCATTGCACACCGAGTGCATTCGCACCGAACAATTTACTGATGCCTCACGTGCACTACAGACGCAATGAACATTAGACGTGGCTTGCAAGTTTCGGGCGATAGTGTATTTGTGTGCTGACACAGTGGGCTCAACCTTCCGTGCATGTGTCGTGTAGTAAGATGCAACGTTTGGTAATTGGAAAGGATAATGATTTAAATATAAGGGATTAATGTTTGATATAATGATACAGTAGTCCATTAGATGCAGTATTTGAGTCATTTAAACATGTTGAAATGTAAAGCTTCGTTAACAATACTAAATATTTTGTTGTTACCCTGGCTGGCGCTTGACATTAAGGGGATAAAACAAGGACTGTGTCTGAGCGGGTAGTATCTCAGTAGGCTAGCATAATAAAACTGGTACGAGAAGCCAGACATTCATTGCTATATATGTGCAATGATCTTGTCGTTAAACCAAATTTTAACGTGGAATAACGTATACCTACTCATTGTCACATTTGTGAGTGAGTTGGGTTTAACGCCGCTTTTAACATTATTCCAGTCATATCGCGGCAAGCTTAATGTGGGAGGAAAGCCCGAAGTGATGCAGGTCTTATACGTATACCACTTCGGTGAAACCAAAGAGCACGGGTATGGTGCTGACGAACCTAGAAACATAATCGGGGCGAACAGGGATTCGAACCCACAATCATAGGTTTCTGGCGTGCCCAAGGGACGCAACTCTGCACAGCGAATCGCGGCGCCTTAGACAACTGGGCCACCCGTGCCCCTCACATTTGTGACATGTCTGACAAATAGTAATCCGGTGCACATATGGATCTGATGGCTAAAGAGAATGTTATTGACCTAGGTGCCGTTGTAGAGCTAAGACGTAAGTCTAAGGTATGGGAGTTTGTACAACGGCACCCTGGCTAATTGTGTCGAAGTGCCCTACCAACGTTTTCGGTTCTTCATGATGTCGTGATGTAGCTGCTGTGGGGTAAAGGAATATTCACTCACTTGTGCTGTTAACGATGATTTTCACGATCACACAAATAGACAACACCACATATTTTTTCAATGTAATTTAATCATATATACATACATATATATACACATATATACAAACAATATCAGACAAAACTTTAGCACTAATATATGCTGCATTCGTTATTGCACAGTCCCTTGCTGTCCTTGACTCAAGATGAGAACTGGGCATGCGCGGAAGCCATGGTGGGTGAACCGGAAGTTGGGAAGGAGAAGACCGAATGCTGCATCATCTGCATCTCTGGTGACGGCGTCATCATGAGCCCCTGTTGCGTCATCATGACCCCTGGCATCATGTACTGGAAGGGTGGGAAAGCGGTGGGCAACATCGAGGCTGCAGGCAACAGGTAAGGGTGATGGTGCACTGTGGGCATCGGACTCCGACATTGGTCGGACTGGCGGCGCTTGGAACGGGCTCTCTTGTTTTGAAACCAAATCTGAAAAGTTCGATTATCATCATCATTATCATTAAATTATTATAAAAATGCAAAGAGGGTTGGGATGATCCTGGTACAGTCAGACTGGATAGATTCATCATTAGCTCAGGGCCTTTGCCCCTCTACACACAGCGCAGACGGCGAATGGAACTTCTCCCAGGAAGCGCTGCCTAAATTATTATTTTTTTTAATTTCACTTAAAAATATGAAAATAATTTTTTAAATGGTATGATAAATTCTTCTTCATACCCCTTGACATTGTGTTCAGTTAAATAGTATGGTACATTGAAGACTTACCTTCAGCTTCTTTTCAGGCAAGCCCAGTTCTTCCGCCAGTATCTCGAATGCCTGTGAGTCGGGGTAAGGTGAAGACAGGAACACTGCCTCCAGACATCTGACCTGATTTTTGGAGTAACTCATCCTGTTGCTCCTCACCCTGTGACACTCAGCGTCAGGGGGTGAGAAACCCTGATCCCCGGGGGTTCTAAGGGGCGAGGGAGTGTTAGATGTGCTGGATCGGTCGGGAGACGATCCCGGTGTACACGGTGCTCGGTGGTGAAACTGGTGTGATGGGACGTGATGTTGGTAATACACCCTGGGATCCAAGTACTGCGAACTCCCGTCGATGCTTGGCTCGGTTGGAGATTGCGGAGGTGTCATGTCTGAAAATGAAATAATGTATGAATAAATTACACACACATTACACAATATTTAAATCTAAGGCTAAGTTATTTAATTACCATCTAAATTTTATTTTAGTTAAATTTTATTTGAGGAAACATGTTGATCGGTGCAATTCAAATACTATATTATATAAGCTTACCTGGTGGTGTACATATGGTCTGGTTGTATACAGGACAACGGTCACTATTCCATCCGTACCCTTGGGTAGTGGCCTCATCCATCTGCTTCCCTTGTGGGACACGTGACCCGAGGGTGCTTCTTGGGGAAGATGATGCCAGGATGGAGGAAATGGAGAAGGACTGAAATAAAAAACATAATTATAGCAAGTAATCATTAATCATGTAACCATTACTCTCACCTTAGTTCAACGGGTTCAGAGTGTAAAATAACAAGATATAAATTCATATTGGATCAAAATTCATTTGGGATCCTCTACATTTCACAGAAACCTTTACCACAATCAAAAGACATCTCTGATAAAATCCAACAAAATAATAAGCACGTTTTTCATGAATCACTTTGAAATTGTGATGATACCAGGTGTTCGCGAAAAGATGGGTCCCATCGATGGCACATGCAAGCGCAATTGCAAGTCAATTATTTGCCTACAAATATCGCAGTTGTTAATATGTAAATGGTACAAATATACCTAATTAACGAATGACGTACCGACTTCACCTTGGAGATCGACATGACGACAGTAGATGTGTGATAGATGGGGAAAATATCTTCCAACTTTGTGAAAAGCAAGCGTTTGTTGTACCAGGGAGTGATGTACTGGCTCCGTGTCCCGGCCGCATGTATATACCCCTTAACTTCCAACTGATTGCGTTCACTCAAACCTGAAAGTGACAACATCTCACTCAATCAGGCTTTGCTCAGAGAGCAATTAAATGGTTTGGGAAAACACGACGCCCGTGCAGGTCTAGCAAGCTGATGAGTGAGTTGGTAATCGGGACACTGATCAGTTATTATGATGTTGTTGACACGTCTTTTCAATTAAACATGAGACACATTGTTTACATATTTGAGATGCAATTTGTGCAACTCAACAATGAGTGATTAATAGCACTGCTGGGATCTTTTTTAATTTAGGCAGAATATTTATTTCAGTCAGTGATCGCGACATTTTTTTATCGAAAGTAGGATGTTAATAATATTGTTGTACCCCAAAACATTATTATTAAAGAACACCTAGGATGTTTAGGGAACGATGTCGGTAGAAATATGATGTGACAAATTATTTTCCCCCATCACATTCTGGGACAAGGCACCATCCGAAAAATATCAGCTGGTCGCCACTTTGTAAGTTATCAAGCTTGATATTGAACCTACTGTATAATTAGTACATCTACATATATCATGTACCTTAAGGATCAATAAAATGTACACATGTGACGCCGCGCTGCTACGAATAACCTCATGTATCATGGCTGTACAGTCACTCGTTCTCGGTTGTTAAGACTCCATTCACTGTACAATGAATGAATATATAATTTTGTAACGTCTGTTATTTGTGTAGGATTGAGGAAATATATATTTTATTCAATATTCTATTCTTTACATTAAACATACGTGTGGTAAGATAGTTTTTCGTTATAAGAAACGAACAGATAGAAAAAAAATGTTATCTAAATCGGGGTTGTATTTGCTGACAGAAGGCCCAATACTCGACCAAGTAACATTTACGTGATTTGTAAATGTGCTCGAGTTGGTCCTGTTAATTGTATACTTACCCCGGGACGTGCATTTCAAACCGGAGTCGACGACAGCGTGTTGCACGTGCGAAGGTTCAGGGAACATATTTCACGTGCAACACGCAGTGGTAATACGCCACATATAGACATGAAGTTGTTGAATATATTTCTAAATACGGTTAGCAAAACAGCCATGTTTCAGCATTTTAGGTGGTAAGGTTCTTTGAATGTCGGCCATGATTTGAATGGGTTAGAGTGAGCTAAACTTTACATAAGTGTTTTTACGTGTTGACGTCGGGATTGTTGACTGCTGAACACAGTTAATTACTTGTTTCTGTCAATAACATATGCTTTGTTGTCTTTTTCACCCAAATCTGTATTACACGTTAGTTGTATAGCTAATTAGGTAATAATTGTGTCAAATTGTCAGTTGAGATTTAAAATGTTCACTGGATATTTGTGGGGCGCTTCAGACTCTTAAACCAAACAAGACCATATTGTGATATGGCACAAATACTGTTTGTTTTGTTTGTTGTTTAACGCCGCACTCAGCAATATTCAATCTATGTGACGGCGGTCTGTAAATAATCGAGTCTGGACCACACATTCAAGTGATTGACATCATGAGCATCGATCCACGCATTTGGGATACGATGACATGCATCAACCAAGTAAGCGAGCCTGACCACCCAATCCCGTTAGTCGCCTCTTACGACAAGCTGAAGACCTATTTCAACCCGAATACTGAGTAATGAGAGAAACACACTGTATAGATTTAGACCCGAAGTCAAGAACTAACTCTATGTGGTGAATGTCGCAGACACGAGATCCATCACTAGTCTGCGTTATGTGGGTATGCCATTCAATCAGACACGAAAGCGATTACTAAATGTATGTTCTGTTTGTATGCCATTATTAACTGATACACGAGGCCCGCATTTTTGTCAACATAGATTTAGTAACTGACCTCGTGTCTCATTGTTTTGGAGACATATACGCAATATAGTAAGGGATTGTAGGACATATTCAATATTCAGTGGAAAAGCACCGTTTACAACTGCTACCTTTCCCCACCCTGGTTATTGTTGGCAGCTGACCCCTTTGTCAAACAATCCCGCCACTCGCCTCTTACGACAAGCATGGGCTGCTGAAGACCTATTCTATTAAATGAAAGCGACACAACCCTTTCCATATTCAATAGATTATAGTACGATTCCGACCACATCGTGAGCATGTGTTTATGAATCTATATCAAATAGTGATGATCCCAGATGTTCGCGAAAAGGTGAGAATATCCTGCCCCAGCGGTGGCACATGTCACAAACACATGCAAAGGCACGACAAGCATGGGCTGCTGAAGACCTATTCTATTAAATGAAAGCGACACAACCCTTTCCATATTCAATAGATTATAGTACGATTCCGACCACATCGTGAGCATGTGTTTATGAATCTATATCAAATAGTGATGATCCCAGATGTTCGCGAAAAGGTGAGAATATCCTGCCCCAGCGGTGACACATGTCACAAACACATGCAAAGGCACGTGATCAGTTACATTTGATTGTGTTGTGACCCCAGGTTCAGGATTCTTATCGACGTAATTACAAATAGATCACGCCCTTTTAGCGTGCGTGTGACACTCAACTGATATCATGGCACAGGTCACGCTTTTGGTCAATAGTTTATGTGCGCCACCTGGCAACGTCAAGTTTGTCTGATGATAGTTTTCAAGAGTGGGTAACGGACCTGTAAATAATATTGTTTTACCCCCATTAAGAATCTTGCAATTCTATTGGTTAATCCGTACCACATGACCAAACAACACATTTCAATGGAGACCCCGAAATCATGTGACTAACACTGATCACCACGAATATTGACACGTCAAATGATCAGTATTGACCTGTCACGTGATGTATATTGACTCCTCTGCTAGAAAAACATCTTCTATAAATAGACACGAAAAACAGTGATATGTATGCAGGCTGCACAAGAATAAAGTTATCAATTAAACAATGAGTGTCAATTTGACCAAAATTTGTTAAAGAGGTTCTTGGTATCATATATTGATGCATTGTATTTGGTCGTGCAGTAATGTTGTGTGAGCTCCTCTCTAATTGGTGGGCGGATTATGGAAAAATTTATATCTATAAATCATGTATTTTGTTCCAATTATTAGCACATTTATTGGTGTCTGTGCTGGATAACCTATTAAAACGTCTTTAATAATTTTGATTTTGATCTTTATTTTTTTTAATATCCAGTTTTCTAAATCAAACCAAAGATAGTTCACATTTTTATACGACCAAAATATGTGTTCAATACTGTCTTTGACATCTGATCAGAAGCTAAAAAAGTTGTTGTCTACATATCCCATCTTGTTGTTAAAATAAGGTGCGTTATTTGGTATTGAAACCATTGGAGTTTTGTGTTGGTAACACTTGTAAAAGTTTGTAGTTAGGCTTTACTTTGTCTGTCATCCTTATTTGTAGTGGACTTTCCAATCAATCAGTGTGGATTTTTTGCACAATTGTTTTGTGTTAGGGTTGAGTGGTAATGTTGACCTCCATTGGATGTTTTATGTAAGTGAAACAAGTTAAAAGGTAGAATAGGGTATTCCATTTTCTTTTGGAAATCGTTTATCCCCATTATAAGGTAGTATTGTTTTAGTATACTCATGTATTTTAGAAAGTGTGTTTTTATTCGAAAGGTTTCTTTGAAATTTCCAAACGAAAGAAAAAGTCCCGTTTCATCAATGAGGTCATTGATATAGTTTACCCCTTTTTCTTTCCAATCCAGAATACATTTATTATTTATTTTAATGTTATCGTTGTGTCGAAATTAGGACACTTCGAAAAGAAATGGCGGATATGAGTGAGTGAGTATGGTTTTACGCCGCTTTTAGCAATATTCCAGCAATATCACGGTGGGGGACACCAGAATTGGGCTTCACACATTGTACCCATGTCGGGAATAGAACCCGGGTCTTCGGCGTGAGGGGCGAACGCTTTAACCACTAGGCTACCCGGCCGCCCCGATGCTTGGTACGAACGCAGCTGAGTTACCGTAATGGAACAGAGGACGGTTTTAAGACACTATGAACTTTAAAGTGAATTTCGGTATAACCACACGAATGATTACTCGTGATGACCCCCGAGGTGGTCTGGCCGGGCCGTGTTCCGGTCCGGTCCGGTCCGGTCAGACCGCCGAAGGGGTCAGGTCCGAGGGTCCCTGATTTCCGATACTGACCTCGTCAAGAGT